CGGTCAAAAAAATAGTGGTACTCCGCGATTAAAATGCGATTTTAACAGTGTTCTGGTCGTTTATTGTTATTATTAATTACAGTGGATTAATCTACGTTCTTTCAGCTACAAATTGAGTGCTTCAGCTAAACGAAAGCTGTCCGTATAACGGTGTAACAGCTGTTTAAAGTGAACTAACCGGGGTACGCATAACGAAATACAGTGTCAACCGTTGCAAATAAATTGCGATTTTAACAGTGTTCTGGTCGTTTATTGTTATTGCCACTGACAGGAGATTAATCTGCGTTCTTTCAGCTACAAGGTGAGTGCTTGGTCAAGACGAATCAGCCGTTATAAGGTACTAATCTACATTCATAAACTTCGAATGTAATGCATGACGAAGAAAAGTGTTGCCTGTTTAGTGGTTATGTAATTGACACATATTTCGATCGGATTTACACTGCTAAACGAGCATCAGTTTTGCTCGTCATGGATTACATTGGAAGTTTAAAGAACGCAGATTAGTACTTTCTAGCAGGTGGGAACCAGTAATTACAAGAACATTGTTAAAATCGCATTTGTTTGCAACGGTTGACACTGTATCTCCCCATGCGTACCCCGGTTAGTTCACTTTCAGCTACAAATTGAGTGCTTCAGCTAAACGAAAAGGGATTCCGGGAATCGGGTGACGTCACGGCGTGCGAGCGAGAGCGGTAGAGCGAGCCGCGGTATCGGTGCTCTCCGTCGGTGTCGACGGGTGCCGAGGAATTTTGGTGGTCTATGGGAGGGAGGTGTGCGAGCGAGAGAGTACGGTAGAGCGTGCCGAGTATCGGTGCTCTCCGTCGATCCAACGCGCTAGTGAGTTGCGTCACACAGTTTATTGACTTAGCCGTGTACGCCGTGTACCAAGGTCGTACCATCCCGTGCAGGTCTGTGCTTGCTTCCTCACTTTCTCGTGAACCGTCGCGGAGGGTGGTCGCGCGTCTCATACTCGTCTTTTCTTGTTACTAACCCATTGTTTGTTGCAGGCATTCGACAACCATCAATTTATTTACTGTGCATATTGTTGTGTCCCCTCTCTTGTTACT